ATTGACGAAGTCCAGATCAGAATAAGTACTAATTTTACGTATGTGATTTAGTCTAGTGTTCTTTCTACACTTTAAAACCCTCGGCCCCCGGGCTACATCTAGAACGCGAAGGATTTTTGTTTGGCCCGCCAACTTAATACATTGAAACTAACTAATTTGTGGAGAAATTGTCAGTTGGAGTTATTTGACTTACAATGAAATGAATTTTTAGAATCAAAATTTCATCCCGAATCCACTGCTGACTTCTACAAGAAATCTATTTTGCTAAGCGGAAAATAGAAAATCCTTTTGAATAATGCGAAAATGATGGTATCATTATTTGGAAGTACGTATGCCTGTGAACAACACTTTTTTTAAAAAAAGAAATATACTAAAAGTCGTTTAAGAACAAAGTTGGGTGATGACCACCTGCATCAGGTTTTGCTCCTGTCATCGACAAATATTTCACCTGATCTGGAGAAGTTATCAAACAATAAGGAGTGTCTCAGTAAATAATTTGCCATTTCTAACTGTAATTTGTTTGTAGTAAGGCATTTGCATGTTTTGTTGATTGTGTTAATTATTATCAGGTTATTCCTGCACTAAAATAAGGAACCTTGTTTAAATAATATAACATTAATTTGTTTTTTTTTCCTATAAACCTCCAGACCAAGGCAAGCCTTCTGGGCTGAGTGATCTGAGGTTGAAATAATTTATTATATTACATTTGATATCATGACCCATGCATAGATTTTTGGCCCATTCTCTCTAAAAGGTTGCCGACCCTTGCTTTTAAAACGATGGCATTACGTTTGAACAGAAGTGCTTTATTACAGCCATATTTTTAAAGTTTGCTCATAAAAATCAGTATTGATGTGAAGCAAGAGTGAAAGGTGAACAATAATCAGTCTAAAAGAGGATAAAAGCGGCTACCTTGTACCTGACATTGTTAGCGACTATTTTTTTTCTTTCTTTCAATTTAAAAAAAAAAAATAAGTGCAGCAATTAAATAAGTATTTTATTTTCGTTAATATATATTAAAAAAATTCTCAGATGATAAATTTAATTTTAAATATATTCTCGGTTCAACTAGCTGGTATAGTATTCCATATTTCGACAATTTTCTTCATTTATATTATATTAAATTTTCTTCATTTATATTATATTAAACACTTGACCGATCATAGCTTTCCACAGTTTCCTTACCTTTTTAGCTCTAAATTATATTTGTCCTCTTATCACCTCTTATCAATCTCGTTAGGTAGATTACTCGCCGTTTTCCCCTGTTCTTGTTGACTTCAGTATGTTCACTGTGTCTATCAAATTCTACAAGCCCCTTTCTTTATGTGTCATAACAAATTCTACAAGCCCCTTTATTTGTGTGTCACAACAAATTTCACCTGTCTCTTTCTGATTTCTTTTTTGTATTTTTCGTAAAATTTACCCGTTGCTCATATGTTCATGTCATGATATTCTGAGCATCTTCCTGTTGAACTACATTTATGTTGCTTCAAGTCTTTTCTTCATCTATGAGGAAAGAAATTGTCTAGTATTCACTGCCATATATGAGGATTGATAGTAAACAGCCGTTCAGCAGTCCTTTAACTTTTTTGTCTCTATAATATTTAAAAAAGGAACAAATTACGCAACACATATTTCGATTAACCGCGTTACTTAAAATGATTACTTCGCTACTTATCCAAATGTAAAAACAGTCTTAGTAGGCAATATGTTTTTAATTGGAATCACCCCAAGCAAGTCAGTACTAAAGCACAAGTGGTTACAGGGTGCGGAAGAATTAGGAACAGAAACATTAATGATTAGCAGAAAGAGAAGAGACTAAAAATGAGAATAGTAGATAGCAATTGACATTGCATTTAAATTTTTGCAGATTAAAGTTGGCTGGAAAGCATTGAACTGGAAGGTAATTCCACAAGTGCGAGGAAAGAAACTGTTAGCATAGAATTTACGTTTACATCTAGCTAACCATAATTTGATGAGATCTAGACGCCAGTCTAGTACTGCACTTAAATTAAAAACTCGAGGTAGTATAGCAAAGAGCGATATTTATTTGTAAATATTTACAAAATGTGTCACAAGGACAAAATGGGGAATGGGGAAAAGTTCGATCTTCATCTGTCTTAACTTTAAACTTAGTTCGCCACCCAGACATACCACAATATTCCTAACACCAAAACAACACATTCTTACTACATTCACCATAATACCTCATTGTCTCTATGAAAATCCTAACTAGCCTTCATATGTACAATTCATTGTTTGTGGCGGGGGTGGGATAAAACAACAATTTAAAAACTAGCCCCAATGTGTACTATACTGAAGAGCTCATACGTCTAACGTAATAACCCTGCCTGTTGCAGTTCTGTCCTGTCTCCCCGGTGGTTCTGGCCGAAAAAGTAATCCACCCGATCTTCCTCCGGTGAACTGAAGAAACCACCACTATTCGCCACGTTGTGAATTCTTGATCCGAACAGCAGTGTATCGATCTACCCAGATCGTTCTGGTGGGAAGGGGAGGAAATGGCTGGGTATTTCGCTGAAAGGAAATCACTATTCATGCAGCAAAAGTTTCTTGTCGTAGCCGCAAACACATGAAAAAGAAAAAAAAAAGCAACTCCTGTTCCTGTACAAAGGGCCCTATTTAGGCCACTGTTTTTTATGTCAATACCGAAGAATTTACACGTGTACAAGATGTCGTAACGAGATTCACTCGTTTGGGTCGGAAAGTCACACAGAGAGAGAGAGAGAGAGAGAGAGAGAGAGAGAGAGGAAAATTTTCTGCCTAAACAATTTCGGCTGATCTAAGGGAAGTAATTCGTGGATCTTCGTCTGCACCCTACGATATAGCAGTCTGCCTTCTCGCAGCCTTGTTGACGAAGTTATCTGGATTCGTACGGGTTCTATATCGATCTCTTGGCTCGGATCGGTCTTCTTGACACAGGGCAACCAACAGACCAGACCAGCAAATTCCAACAAGCCGCCTCTTCCGCGTTCTGATCTCCGAACTCCGAACTCATTTGCGTAACTCAAGCGTGCGGGCAGCTTATATAGAGAGAGGCGGAGCTAAACCATCTTTAGGTACCGCCCCCGAATTTTAATATGCAAATCGCCTGGACCACCATGTGTTTCCGCCTAATCTCCGGATCTCCGCGGGCAATCAGTTTTCAAGAGGTACTAAAATCGAATTCGGACCTCCTGCTGGATCTTCCGCAGACAACGTATACTTAAATTTTGCCAAAACCACTTATCTCGTCTGGTTGAATTCCGCTATTCAGACCACCCAAAAATCCAATTTGCCATTTATCACAAACTTTACTTCAACGAATCCGTCTCTTAATCACCCTGGAATTATTACATGTAATTAAGTAATAACTCAACCCCAGAAACAATTATTAAGAGAAAAAAAATAAACTTATTTCTGGAATTACTCCGGAATCCCTTCTACCCAAGTAATTAGCACCTTCATCCTAATTCTTTAGCACTGTTGATTACTAAATCCACCTCGGGTGGGGGTCTCTCTCTCTATATATATATATATCACATACGATCAATTACCATGAATGTATTTATAGAAAAAACACAGAGGGGCAATCTTACGCCGGTGGGACAGCGACTGAAGTCGAACCGCCAGATCAGGACTAATAATATTGCTGATTCTTCTTTGGATTTTATCAAGGAGCTCAATGTAAATTTCAAGGACGAACAATAAGTGAAAGATGTCTATAAAAAGACATTGTTGATTATTTACGGATAATTTGTTTAAATCACGCTGTAACTATTGTTTGCGTTAATTGGCAATCATTCTAAGTAACATGAGGCTCTAAAATAAGTAACTAAGTAATCGTTTTAATATCGGTGCCTTTTAAAAATCGTGTTATAGAGAGAGTGCCTCACTGTGGAGTAGCGGTTAAAAAGCAACACATTATTACTGTAATGAGTTTGTTGCTCATACTTTTGGCTTTGTATCAGTTTATTAAGTATTTAGTCTGCTTCGTCTCTAAAATAGATATTTCTCACCGAGTTTAAGTGAAAGCCAGTATTTCGAATGCTAATTTTCAAGGTATTATCTCCCAGCTTAAAGATTGGCGTGGCAGACTCTTCTTCTCTTGGTAAAGTTTATTAAATATCGATACACATGTGAAACAAATATCAGTGAAAAAGTGAAATTGACTTATTTTCTGTAATATCAATCTGTCATAACTAACAGTGGACAGGACAGCAGTTGACATTACAGATTACCCCAGATCATTCACTCTGTTCCCATATCAACATCAACTAGCAATGGGACTGAGCACATGGAAATGCAATTTTTCATGGCTCTCTTTCCATTAAAGCTTGGACAAGATTTTTTCTCAGTGTGCGACTGTATGGCTATCCAAATAATGGAAGTGTGAATTTTTATAGAATTTATAGTTAGCAGCACGGGACGAGAAATCTACGAGTCGAGTTCGAATTTCAGTGGAGTTCTTTACATCCACGTTCGCGCAAACACCCTTGGGAAAGGTATGAATAGTAAGGGAGACTGGACTCTTCAGCCTTGATTGGCAACCAGTGTAGGAGAAGGACAACTCTGCATTTAAAACTGGTTGGGTATGGCGCGAACAACTTCATTCTGTGTAAACTTACTTACTATGGAAGGGATAGCCGTAACGCCTCATCACGTGACGCATTGTCCACATACTCTACAGGTGAAGTTTACAGGAGGTGAGTGAGTGCCACTGATTATTGAATTTGAAACCTAAATGCGTCCGTCACTTGACCTCAAATCACGCGACCCGTAAACCTCACAGCAGCACTACATGTACTGCAGCGTGGTATGTTTAAGGGGAGATAACATGGAGGAACCCACCCCTCCCTCTTCAGGCTGGTTTTGAATTCAGAGTTTTCCTTCTTATCTGGTTGCAACCTTGAGGCAAGAGACTCCGTTCATGGTTTAAACCATGGCTTTCCGAATTGCTAACATTTACACTATATGCGCTTCAAAATACGCCCGGGTTTATAGCTATATCACGTTGAAATACCGGTTCTCGTACGACCACCGAAGTTAAGCAACGTCGAACCTAGTCAGTACATAGATGGGTGACCGTTTGAGAATACCAGGTGCTCTAAATTTGATTCTGCGGGTGGTGTAATGGATAACGGCTCCGAATTTAAAATCGGAGAGCCGATTTGCAATTCCAGTCGGGTTCGTTATATTCACTTTCGCACAAATAACCTTGGGAAAGGCATGAATCTACATATTCTCCTCCCAGCTATGGGTTAATTAGTAAGACTTGTATCAGTAAATCAATATTATCGCCCAAAATTCTTACAATCTAAAAATATTTTCTGGCTTTTAATAACCTGTAAAATGTTGATAAACCATAAAAAATAAAATTACACCTAATGGCCACCTAAATAAGTGTAAGTTTTAATAATTCGTGCGGCCGAATGTTCAATTTAACTGATTTTTGACGCTTTACCTCGTGGACGTTTAATCATTTGATTCTGTTATGAAAGAGCCAGAAAAATATTTCCAAAAATTGTTGAGTCAGTTTGCTTTTGCTTTTGAAATTTATTCTTCAAATAAAATAAAATACTGAGATTTTTCGATTTATTGGTTTTCCCGCCCTTTTTTTGCATGACACATTGTTGATAGAAGACACGGAAAGTAAACTACAAAAACTTTTACAAAAGGTAGAGAAGGAAAACGAGAAGAAAGGATTAAACATCAACAGAACGAAGACAGAATGCCGGATCGCTGACAAAAGGATGAGACGAAAATGCAAATTATAAATTGGAGATACCAAAATCAAACAAGTACAAAAATTTACATATTTGAGAAGAGTTTTAACAGAGGACGGAAAATGTGACACTGAAATCCGAAGGCGCGTTGGGCTAGCGAAAAATGTCTCCCAAAAAGCTAAGCAGAGTATTAAGAAACACGAAAAACTTCGTTAGAAACAAAGAAAATAGTCTTGAACTGTTACGTGATATCTGTCCTCTTATATAGCATTGAATGCTGTACAATCTTTTCAAAGATGAAGAAGAGACTTGAAGCAAAAGAATTGTGTTTCTACAGAAGGATGCTGAGGATGTCATGGGCCGAATATGTGAGCAACGACGAAGTTTTAGAGAAAATAGAAACAGAAAGGAAACATACACAAAACATAAGGAAGAGAAAGTTGAAATTTCTAGGGCACAAATTGAGAAAAGAAGGCTTGGAAAATCTGATACTCAGAACAGATTGAAGGCAAGAGAGACAGAGGAAATTAACGCAGAACATACTTAGTGAACTTGAGTAAATGGATAATGGTACAGAGTTCGGGAGAAATAACAAAAAAAAAAAAACGAAATTTTTTAAGAGCTACAAATTGTGGAGAGTCATGATTGCCTACTTCCTAAAGCGACATAAAGAAGAAGACTTAATTGTAGAGCATACAGTATACACTGAAATGTCTGTTTTTATACTTAGTATCTGCTGGTAATTGACATTGTCTCATCTGCCGAAGAAAACAAAGGTTTTAAACTTGACCGCCTGGGAGTTGTAAAATTAGCAATAATGTCAGGGTAACAATATACACGACTTTCCCGCCTTTTGTTATTAAACTCGCACACGCTTTTAGTCTTCTAAATTAGTTTTGTTTTCCCCACTACTAAATTATGTCTGTTTTTAGCAACTGTCTAAAACTTCAATCTTCATTCAAAATAACAGGCATTTCTGGTAAATTATTCGAATTCATTTTTACTGTTTTCAAAAAAGAAAAAAAGAAAAAAAGACTATGAAGTTTGAATATGATGTCCCCGCATTCCCTAAAAATCAATGTTAAAAGCTACTTAACGACCAACACATTTTAACACTGCGGCGCAGGGTAATGATTAACGAGTTTGTCCAGATAACTGTCTAGTAGCGATTTTGATTCTAGCTGGATGGGGAGGCATACTTGTAGCTTTGGGTCAAGACTGAATCAAGTTTATTAACTAATAGCGGTGAACTCATTAAAGGTACGTGCTAATTTGTTGTGGGCGTAATGAATAAAACGCCTTTTTTTACGTTTTCTCACCAGAAACCTATTTTTTCTTTAAAAAAAAAAATAGCAAAGCAGTGAGACACCTAGTTAGGATCAAACTCGTTATTCTTGCAAATATAATATTGCTCTGCTAAGTGAGAATTCAAAATACTTTACTATATTTGTTAGCTTAGCAGATGAAATGAATATTTAGATAAAACGATTTTAATACTTTCATCCCATGATAAGTCCAGATTTCACAGACTTGGTATCTATAAATATATTATTAATGTAATTTTATAAGTATTTTAAAGATTATTACATTGAAACGTTTCCTTTAGATATTTCATATGAATCTTACTGATATTTAATAAATATAACTGCATACAGCATAAGATCATAGGTAGGTAAATTGTGGTTTAAACACTAGTAGAGCAAACAAAACGAAACCGATTTACTTAACTTGGACTCAAATGAGGAAACACTTGCACAAAAAATAGAAATTCGAAAGACAATGGGGAACATTTGCTTTGTATCTGTTTATATGCTTTTTTTCTCATTTTCTTTCTCACTTTTATGCATGCGCCATACTAACGAAATTATGTCACAGAAATAAACATAAATCTTTTAAGTGGAGGAGGAATCTAACACTTCCCCGTTATAAAAATCAGCGTTTGAGATTCTGGCTTTTAGCCTGACTTTGAAAGTCAGAATACTATGAACTGAGCATAGATGGACGACGAAGTTTTTGTGAAAATGGAAACAAAAAAGAAACATACTTAATATCAGGAAGAGAGTGTTGAAATTTCTGGGGTACATCTTGAGGAAAGAGGTGTAGGAAAAATTGATACTCAAAGGGCAGATTGAATGCAAGTGGGACAGAGGAAAACAGTGCATAACCTATCTAGCGAGCTTGAGTAAATGAATGGCGGGACAAAGTTTAGGAGAGATAACAAAAAGACAAAACTTATTAAGGACTATAAAGGTCAGGACATTTTGGCGTGCCATGATCGCCAACACCTTTGGGGTGGGGGGCGGGGTTGTACGCGACACATAGAAGTAGAGGCGAAAGGCCTAGTAATCTTAGCTTAAATGCAGGCCTCTTATACTTGCGCTGCACTTGGAAGTGCTCTGATTTGTAATTGCTGTTTGTTAAAAAACCCCAAAAAAAACTACCCATTAAGAGGCAATCGTTTGCACTTGTGACGTCTAACGTTAAATCCCAACTACTATGTTGATTAGGTTTATAACTACAAACTAATTCAAAAAGAAGAAATGTAATTGTTACGGAATTTGACTACAAGTAAGATGCATATAATGACTACAAATTTATATGAAAATAATATGCAGTGTTAAAATATAATCTTTCCATATGGGATGCCGTATAGATTTTAGTTATATTTTTAAGCATTTTTGATGCGATTAAACACAGCCCTTTTTTTTTAACTAAAATATTAGAATTTTAAAAGCGTAAACATGTGCGGATAGTGCAATGAATATAAAAGTGGACATCAGCAATCCGGGTTCAAATTCTAACCTGGTATGTTGCGTTCACTTTTGCACAAATCTGCTGGGAAAGGTATGAACCTTCGCCCTCTCCTCCAAGCTATGTGTTAAACAGCAGAATAAACAGGGCTTTCTAGACTTGGGGGATAATCTGTAGAGAAGAAAAATTCCGTATTTTAAATTGTGGAGGAAGCAACCGTGAAACCACTTCCCTATATTTCCCAAGAAATGCATAGATAATTAAAAAAGAAATCTCCGGAGAGTCATGATCGCCTACTTACTGAATGAATATTAAATTAAAAGGTATAACACTGCAAAAGAGCGTAAAAGATTCGGGAAATCAGTATTTTTAAGTAACAAATCTCGCCCGTTCGAGAGTTGGAACGGGCTTAAGAATATTTTCTCTTGTTTATTATACCGAAAACATTTTAGCAGACTGTTGGTCAACTCCTGATTATAACGGCAACTCTCATTAGGAAAACAACTCTTTGCACCTTTTTGTGATCACCTTTTCAACTGACATGAAGTAGAGTGATTATATAGAATCAATTGCTAGGTCGACTCCTAAGAAAGTTGGTTCACTGTGTAGTGCGAGACAATGTTTTTCGTCAGAATCCATCTTTCACATTTATAAATCAAACATTGGTCTGTGTATTGAATATTGCTGCCATATCTGGTCTGGTGCTCCTACTATATATCTTTAGATTCTTGACAAAATTCAAACACGTGTCTGTAATGTTATCAGCACTGACCTGGCATCTCAACTTCAGTCATTTTCCCACCGCCGTGACGTAGCTTCCCAGTATCTTTTCTATAAATATTTTAATGGCAATTGTTCTGATGAGCTTTCCTTTTGGTACATATGGGGACTAGTTAGGATTTTCATAGAGACAATGAGGTATTATGGTGGATGTAGTAAGAAAGGTAAGTAAGAATGTGTTGTTTTGGTGTTAGGACTATTTTGGTACGTCTGCATCAGTGTTTGTGGCTAGCTAAGTTTAAAGTCAAGACAGATGAAGACCGTTATTTTTGCCCATTCCCAATTTTGACCTTGTGCCACATTTTGTAAATATTTCCAAATAAATATCGCTTTACTTTTGGTAATTCGACTGCATGAATTTAAATATACAACTAGATTGGCAACTAGGTCTCACTGTTTGTTGAAATAGCTCGATGCAACCGCATGTTCTATCTTAATAGTTTCTTTTCGCGCCTGTGGAACTTCTTTCCGATTTCTTGCTTCCCTACTACCTACACTTTTCAAAAATTTAAATGCAAAGGCAATCGCCATCTTCCGTCTCCCTGAAACTGTTCTTTTATTGTTCTTTCTCCTCACTAAAGTATTCTCTTTTTCTTCCACTCGCAGTATCCCCTTGTGTCCTAGTGGAATTATCGCCTTGCTTGGGGTGAAATGATTAAAATAAAAGATGCTCTCAAGTATTAAACGTTTGTCACAACAGCACTTCACTATCTTCGCTATCCTTCCTTTGTGGAAGGAGCACATTCATAAAGCCATCAACATTAGATTCGTATCAATATCTTGTAAAATCTTATGAAATACGACTATAATCTGAATGAGTTGGAAGAGAAACGATAAACAGTAGCTAATC